AAAGCAGTGTTTGGTGCTGTAGCGTTTGGGTTTCCGTTGTTATCAATATCTGGATTCCCATTAAAACTTGCTAAACTTGTTGATAATACCGTGGAACCCATTACACTGTGGCCGTTATTGCTGCAATCATTGGCATTATGATGACGTTGAGAATTCTCAGTGCCAACCGGCGGCAACGTTAGAGAATGATAATGACTACGGTTTCTGCTGTGGCAATCTGATTCTTCTTTTCTAACTCTGGATCTGAATCCGTCATCACACTGGAAATGGCTTGGACTGCTGTTGTTAATGCACGTCGCGTGGGAATCTCCGATGGGTTAATATTAATATGTGAGGGTCCTGCTGATTTTTCTCGCTTTGCCCAGCCGTAGCTGAAGCAACAGACTCACCTTCTAAAGTCGGCATATTTTTTTTTTTTTTCAGAATCACGGAAGCGCAAAAGGCATTTGATAATTTCCACTCAACGTCCCGAAACTACAATCCCACTGTTATATCTTAGCCGAATTTTGACCAATCCTTGTAAAATTTGTATCTCTACCCTTTCGTTTACAGATTAATTTAAATTGTTTACAACAAAAAAAACAGATTTTTAAAATCGCATTTACATTTATTTAATCAACATTGTAACTCCTAGTTTTACTTCCTTTTTTTCTTTTTTTTGTTTACACTTTATTTAAGTTAATTAATTTCTTCGTCAGATACGATTTATTTTATAAAAAAAAGGAAAACGCGCAGACAAGATTTGCAGACAAAAAAACACGTGTAAAGAACGCTACAGTTCACAACATTCAAATTTTAGGTTTTTTTTCTTGGTGTAAATGTTTTTATAACGCAGTAGTCGCAGACATCCGTTCTTTAGATATTAATAAGCTATTTTCCATTTTTTCCGTTTACAAGCAATATTTGTTATTCTTAGTGATTAATTCATGTGCAATGCGTCCGTTTATCTTCAATTTTTAAAAAACTGTCTTTCTTCTTCAGAGGTTTGTTCCAGAAGCACTCAAAAAACGAAAAACACCACCGCTGAACTTTCATAGCCAAAAGGCTCTCTCTCTGCTCTCTTCTGCATACCTAACCGCAAGCCGCTATTGTCCAAAGATCACGCGATGTCGCCTATCATGACATTTCGTGGTTAGATCAGACGGACAGATCCCCTACCCCAGCTCGGACTATAGTATGCTATATTATCCTACCGCTATAATACCCTACACTAGTACTATGCTGTACACTAGTATTATGCTATGCTACACTATATTATCTTATATTATATTACCCTAGCACTATAATACCCTGGTCTATATTATGCTATATTATATTATCCTACACTAGTAATATACTACCCTATTCTATATTATATTGTATTATCCTACACTAGTAATATACTACCCTATACTATATTATATTATATTATATTATCCTACACTAGTAATATACTACCCTATACTATATTATATTATATTATCCTACACTAGTAATATACTACCCTATACTACATTATATTATATTATTCTACACTAGTCTAGCACTATAATCCTTCCTCTCGAATAAAGGCAGGCCGTTATTACGGTCACGTTTACGCTGTTGCGATGGGGTCGTGGCTAGTTCAGACCTACTGAAACTCCTACCTTACATCGTTCGCGGACGTTGCAAGAGCCAAATTCATCTAATTTGGTTTAAGTTTGCTCGTGTATATGTGTGCGGATATCATCTAAAATCGATCTAAAAACATTGATATCTCATACCTCGAGTTGCTGAAAATATGTATTGAGACACACTTTCCGATATCGATGGAGATGTGATGAATACATTTTCTTTTAAGAGTACAGCTGACTTCCCTTTGGGCTTGTTGGCCCTCAAATGATTTTTGTATTTTGTCTGCATCATAAAAACTTGGCAGGGCTCGCAATGTACTTCATTGGTAGGAACTGTCCCCTTGGCCTAGCTTGAAAAACTCCTTTACGCTTAGCGGTGTTGCTTGTAGACGGTCCGCCATTCATAATGGACATAATAGGCTGGTTTGCTTTAAATGCAGCCTGCTTAAACACAAATCGTGTTCAGTTAGAATCACACAATCAGTCTGAGGTTCCATCTTTAATTTTCCGCCGAATTGAAGGCGTTTTTCACGTCTAGTCTAACGACGGCGCAATACTTTTTATCATCGCCGCTCCATCATTCTTCGGCTATAGTGTTTGGGGCAAGCGCCACGATATGGTTTATGGCAACTATCGTAGATCTCTGTTGGTTACCCGAGAGAGCACGTCTTTCTTCGGCCACGATTATCAGGCGTTCGTTTACGATCCTCTCCAATACCTTGCCCACTATGTCTATTAGGCAGGTGGGTCGGAATGACGATGGGTCGTCCGATAGCTTATTAGCCTTCGAAATAAGAACCAACCTTTCGACCTTCCATTCGTCTGGGAATATCCTTTCTTCGAGACACTTTTGCAGCATTGTCATGAAGACGTCTGGCCTCCTTTTTATCGCTACCTTTAAGGGCTTGTTTGGGACTCCGTCTGCGCCAGACATGGCTTTTTGTCCCCAATCCTTTTGCAGGCGCTCAAAAGCTCGTCGGCATTAATTGCTTGTAATGCTTCATCTTCTTCGCCGTAGAAGTCTGCCAACACGCACGGCGGCATCTGCGGAAAAATTGTTACTACTATTCGCCGGACCGAACACTTGACTTGCGGCCTTCTCTGTCCTTTGACCCTCTTCAGAACGACTAGTGCAGCTTTTCGCATCGGAAGCATTTCGCGCAGCTTTCCGTCTGCTAATAGTTTAGCGGCTTCTTCCTGCTGTAGGCTTATGAGTGCCGCCTGTGTTCCACTGTATACGTTCCTTAAATTTACTACTTCCGCGGTTGTCACCCCGTATTAGGACTTAAGTGCGTTGCATATGACCTTCCTGGTGGTCAATTCGTCGATGTCTTTGCACTCGACCGTTTTGCGTTGCCTCAGACACCCGACTTCTACGTGTGTGTTTATGAGTGTGCAGTGATGTGCTCGGAGCGGCCTAGCATATAGCCGTCGCTTGCCCATGTACATGCTACAACCCGGAAAAGACGAAAAATTGTGAAGAGCAAAAAAAAGTCCTTTTCCTGCGAGCCGTTTCCCCATATTTATACTACTAATAATAGTATTGATGATAATAATAATAGCAATGACAATAATAGTAACATTGACGATAATAATAATAATAATAATACTTACGACAACCACAATTGAAAACCAATCTGCCGGCCAAAATACGAGCACATATGGATTACAGCGATACAGGACCAATTTGCTACACCTAGCTGTTACACACACCACAAAGTGCAACCTCAGAATTATACATAGAAACTTATTTATTACCAAAAAAATTAGATCAAATGACTCATCAGATTATCGGCCGATTACGTTTTTGTCAGTATTGTACAAATTGCTCACAAAAATAAATGGAAACACTTCGTATGCTAACTACATGACGCAGTAACGGTAAGGAAACAAGTAACCGAATTGCAACCCGACGAGGAATATTTCAGATCGATACATTGAGTCTACTGTAATTCTGCTTAGGATTAAACATCCTCAATAGACAGCTAAATAAAAGAAGAATGAGGTGGAATACCGACTAAAACGTAGGGATATCGACATTTGCGTCAACCACCTAATATACAATATAAAGCTATATTCTCCCAACAAAGACAAGCTACATAGAGTAATAACAATAATCTATCATTTCAGCGAAGGAATTAGAATTCATCAGATTTAGACAAATCTGTGAAAATGAAGGCTCACTTTCTTCCGGCCTTGGTGATGTAGTAACAACAACAACAAAGATAACCGCGCACGAGTGTTGGCAGCGTAATGCGAATGCACTTAAGTACAGATCTGTTGAATACGCGTACCATCGCATACACTTGTTCATAGTGAAGGCTTACGCATACTCGTCATACAAATTTCAGCAAATGTGCTCATTTAAGCTTTTTACTTTCTCTTTTGGTCTTTGATATCATTTGTTTCTATCGGATGCCTTGGACTCATATTTAATAGTTTTTGGCGCGCAAATGTTGATATTGAATTCTCCTATCTTATATATAATGTTTAGGTTTTGTCTTACATATATAATGAGAGTGTTTTGAGGCTACTTTACATCTGTTAGATTAGACTTCTTAAGCTTTAAAAAAAGTTTTCCGCCTTCTTGTTGTAGCTTCAGTTTGCAAAACAATTTTTTGGATTTTGCAAATCATGATCTGCGAGATGATAAAAATAACTATGTTTTTAATCGATAATATATGTAAGGTTACCAAGGATTCTCCATGAAGCGTTGGACTCTTCAAGCGAGTCATATGGAAGAACAAGCTCAAATTTCGCGAAGAAAATTTTGTTTTCTTACTAAGTCCCTTGACTTGTTATATATGAAGCGACGCAAGTGTAGTTCAAACCACTTATAGCCGTTGCGTTAGAGGGAAATTTGAAAGGTCACTACGGCGTCTTATAGTTCCAGCATTCTCTAAGGGAATTGGCCTGTTATATTGTAAGACTTGTGTCGAAGTAAAGTACAACTACCTTCTTTTAGACTTTATTTTTTATTTTGTTAATCATTTCTTTATATACATTATTATTAATAACTATTTTACGTTATCTTGAAATTTCTCTCTTTTTTAGCTTACTATTATATTTATTTAAATAACATTAAGACTTAATAGTACGGTTTTTCAAGTAAAGTTTTTGGGGAATTTTCCATGTTTTGCTTTTAAATGAATTTTTTAAATTATTAATTTTTTCTTTGGCCTTGTTTATCAATATATATTATTGTTGAAGTAGGACTATACGACGCATTCTCAACTAAGTATTGCTTTGCGCAAACTTACTTAAAGTTTCTTTTAATCAACATGTTTCTGTGCCTTCTTCCGTGTTTCTAATAAATCTTACAATAAGTGATTATTTTTTACTTTTTAGCAAGAAAAACTTTTTCTTTCTCCTTTACATACATATGTATATATATATTTAACTCTAACTGTATGCATGTAAGTAAAAATTTTATTTTTTTTTATTTTTGATACGTATCCCAGTGATATTATTGAATTATTTTTAGCAAATGATTATGGCCTTATCATATGTGTGGAGATATATTGTAATATCTTATAATGCCAAAAAAAAAGGAACTAGACAATTAAATAAATCAAAGATGAAACATGCATTTACACATTTTTGCTTTTGTTTTTATTGTGACAGAAAAAAGCCGTAAAATTTTTGCGGCACTTCAGAGTGCTTTCATCCTACGAACGTTTCCTTTCATAGGCCTTTGAATAAAGAGTGTCATATTATGTATAATGTTTATTACTCTTACTTTTCTTACAAATCACGCGTTTGGGCTGCATTTATGGAATGAATAGCAACAACATTGCTAACGCAGGTGTTTCTTAATACGCTTTGCATCATCTTTGTTGCAATTGCTTACTAGACATAAATAATATATAGTTGTAGTACACTATAGTGGTCAGACAGAAGTACGTGGATAGACATACTAAATAATTTATTCGTTGCGTCTTTGAGGCAGAATTACGATTTGAATCCTCTAAACCTGAAATAAAAAAATAGTTTTCGTGAATTGTTACATTTACAAAATAAAGAAAATAAAAGCCGCATAGTCAAGCACCATCGACCATTTAGCACCACTTTGACTTCCCAAATTGACGAAACGTGAAATGACGCAATTCGAACTTGCCAAGGAGCTTATTGCTGAGCTACTTCTCTCATAATGTATCAGAAATAATACTTTGTTGCAACATGGAGACCTACTTTTCTTTATGCATGAAATCCTGCTTTTTCATGACAGTCCTTATGGGTGCTGGCATACTAGAGGTAGTGATTTAAAGTAGTAGTAGAGTGAGTGATTTAAACTTACCACGATATATATGCGTATAAATTTTAAAATCTTTTTATTACTTAGTTAAATTATTGCATACTAATTCTTTTCTTTTCTGTCACGTTAAATAGTTTCGTTCTTTCTTTTGTAAATACAAATATATTTATTGTACACAATCCCTCACTCATACATACGCCAGAGACAACTAAATAACAAAATGGTCCAATATTTATTCAAAAATCAAACTATTATTACGAATTTGTTGTGTTTCGTTACCAATAACCGTAGTAATGCAGTTAATTAGCAGCTATTCGACAGCTTGCTCTTTCATTCCCATTATTTGTATGGACGAAAGTGCTGTTAATAATTTCTATCTAGGTTCAAACAAACAATTATTATTTGTTTTCTTTTCATCATTCATTTCATTTTGAATATTTCTAAATTTCATGTTCGCCAAGTGCGTTAAAAACTAAAGTACACATTTTTTTATCAGGAAATATGGAGAAGTTTTTTTGTTATTAAAAAAAGGCATTCATTTAATTTTCTTATTATTACCATATTATGTTATATTAATGTAAATTAAGAAAAAATTCTTCGTTTTACGAAAAAATTGAGACAGTGAATAAAACGATTACAAAGTCAAAAAAAGAGTAATCTGTCTGCTGTGAAATTATGGGATTTGAGAACAGATTTACCACATTCCATGCTCCTCGTCAACGCCTAGATTCACGCACATTAAATAATTTAATTTAAATTTAAGTTTTTAGTAAATTTTTCCTGCAAATTTTTGATAAATAGATTTAGTTAACACATCGGCTATGATAGTATTTATATAGCAACGTATGCAATATATTTTAGTTATATCAAATCACTTTTGTAAACACCTCTTATGATGTAATCATCGATGTGTTTACTTCTCTTGTGAAACATAAATCTTTTAACTAAATGCGTGGCATGTAAATTATTTCGGTTTATGATTACAGCATTTGGCCAATGTAATTGGACATCTACCAGCTGCGTCGAACTCGAAGCATCGGTAGGTTGCTTTTTATTCCCCCAAGGAAATTTTAAACAGTTAATTGAATTAGGACTCCTCAGTGTTCTCTTTGATACAGTCATACGCTCACGGTATGGATCATTCTTCTTGGTGCATATCGCCAAACATGTTGTTATAAAAGTCGCTTTTCTAAGATACAGAAGGAGTATTTATTTACAATTATATTCCTTAAATGTAGGATTATTCACAATTTATTTTTGTCAATACTATCTACTGCTCAGCTTATATATTATTTTCCTACTAACTTTTCCTTCCACAAATATTCTACTTATATACATTTTTACCATCATATTAATGGTACCCAATTTTATAGTTTTATTTTTAATTCGTTAACCTGCTTTTCTGATACTCGTTTTCTTCGGCCGGCAGCTGCATGCTACGAATGTGCATTTAGTTTTTTCCTCTTTAGGGATTTTATTACTTAGCTGGAATGAACAGGATATTGGATTTCCGTAACAATATGAACAAGCCAGTCCGTAATTGATATAATTTCTTCTCAAATTTTTCCCAATTGTTATCAATGATTACTTAATATTTTCTAAAGGTGTTACAACGGCAGTTTATCGTTCTATATTCTAGTAATAAATCACTAATATATGATTCCGTTGAGAAACTGTTATTTGCCGAAGTTCACCATTTCGGTCTGCTTCCATGCTTAAGAAATCGTCTGCTATATGAACATCTTCTGATATTTGAGATTTCATGGTATCTATATCTCTCAAGACAGAACTCGACATGAATAAATGATCTGCATACACTGAAATAATATTCCCATACTGATGTTAATTGTATACGCATGGTTTGGCTTGCTATGTTGCTTCGTGACTAAGTCGTTCATTGCTTTAGTGAGTATGGATTACAACAAGAAAGGCCAGTTGCATAAATCAAAATCCATCCTTACTTTATACGGATAAACTTTTGACTTTTTTTTTCATAATTGTTTTCTTTTGCTTTAACAGTTTAACATTTTTAGGTAAGAAAAAAATTATACGAAGAATTTTGCCAATCGATGTTCTGCTATCTCATGTCATGCGACATTGCCTTTCATTGCAAACGGTGGTAAATACAGACCGCCAGAAACTGCCTACAGCTATATACGCGGACGTTGCAGAGTACAAATAAGTAATTTGATTTACCCGTATTTGTAGTATTTAAGGCATTTTCCTTACCGCACAGCTTCAATCCTAAGATTTTTTTAGGTTTATAACTTTCTTATGCTTTGACACGAAAACTTGTGCACTGCGTCATGGTTTGATTCCTCCATCAGAATTCTGCCTCCTTTCACCTTCTTCACATGGCATTTCAGCTGGGTAACTCGTTCCTAGGTCACAAGTAAATTTTTAAAGGACTTGGGCAGGCTTTTAGAAAAAATAATTCCAAACAACTCTTGACATTTGTTCTATCGCATCTGTAAAACTTGCAAAGTGTTGATGTATATTGTCTTCTTCAAACATTTTTAGGTCCAATAAGTTCTTGAAAAGCGAAACTTTCTTTACGGAATATTTGCGAAGGCGAATCTTTAGCAATTTAGTCTGCGAACCTCTTGACGTAGGATATTTCTTTAACTTCAGTGTCTTATTCAGGAATTTCTATATTTGACTTGCGTTATTTTCTGTAGTCTCAGGGGTTATGTTTTCACCGTTTATCGTTGTTCAAAGATCTTGGTGAGTAAGAACCACCTGCGGACTTTTTATTTGCTTATTTTCCTTTAAGAACTTTTATTTTTACAAATAAAAGAAGTTCGCGTGGACCCGTGTGCAGATAATCTATTGTAAATTTGAAGAAAATTCTGCGAGTTACTTTTAATGTGCTTTGTATCATACATAGAAGGGAAAAATTTGAGACAGTTAGTAAACCGATTAGAAAGATAACATATATGAAAACTATATTCGGTCGTGACCGAATGTAGTTTTAGAGCCATCATCGTTATCTCACAGGAGTCTAAGGAAAGAAACAGATCTAAATTTTCCTATTCTATAACATCGCGTGGTTGCTGCTAATTTTTTCCTTTTTTCAAAATAAAATTAGAAATTTGTATGGTGGATTAGAAAGTACCTCTGTGTCTGCTCTTTCGCTTTTTTGTCTCAATGGCAATGTCCACTTGTGTTCTTCATCATTACAATCAATTTTAAAGGCGAGAATGAGAACGTGGATTAACCTTTCTTATTTTTTCTGTCTCTCTTCATCGAAATTTTCTTATTTTTATAAATAAATTTTTAAATCTCTTTTCATGCTGTCTTTCATCTGGTGATTGGAATTTCCATTTTACCAATTGTTTTTTTAAATCCATAAGTTGCCAAGACATTATAAAATTTAAATATTTTCATTTCTTAGGATATATATTCTTTATTTAATAGTTTTAATTATATTGTAATTTGCTTAGATAAATAAAAAATTGTGAAGTATAATTCTGGAATAGTCGCCGTGTAGAATAACTTTTGTATGACATGGAAAATTGGACAAAATAAGTCAAATTTTTGTGTAAGCAAATAAAATTATGTATAAAATATATATAAAAAAATAACAAATTAGAAAAATATAAAAATAATAAACCACATCATTTTTTTTACTAATAAAAAATTTCTTCATATTTCTTGGCATGAAAATTCTCATTGAAATTTGTTAAAACATTTGGCAAACGTAGAAATTAGAACCCTTCAATTCTTCAAAGTAAGCGGAAGAAAGACGAAGAAAGACTTTGCGCTGAACAATCAATTCATGACTATTTAATAAGACGGAAAACGGTTTTCCTTCTGTTCGAAAACTGAAAAGAAGTATTTTTCGCTAAATTATCATTCAATAAAAATTCGAAAATATACTCAAGTTACTAAATTTTTTGTCGAAGCAAGGTAGTTGCATTTTTCTTCGCGTGTGTATCGCACTTTTGCATTTTGTTAAATAACTCGAATTAAAACGTTCTTTCGGACGGATTTGTAGCTGATCTTTTCTTTCTTTCTTATTATAAAGAAATATACTAAGAAGTTTAATTCAAGAAGTTACTTGAACGGAACCAACAATATTAGCAAGAACGTGAAATCATATTGTTACCGAATATTGCGCTAAAAAGGTTGCTTTTGCAATGTTTAAGAACTTTGGTGAAGAACTAAACATATTAGAGCCTAAGTATTGTGTTGAAAAGAACACAAAAGAAAATTAGGGCTATTGGCATTAATCAAACTGAAAGTGATTTTAAAAATATATCTTTGGAACATTTAGAAAAAACGCTCTACAGGAAAACCATGTTTGCGAAAGCTCTAGAAAAAATCAGTACAATCATTTTAGTCGGCCATTATCTAATCGGCCAATACTTAATCGGTCAATAGAATAGCAAAGCAATTTCAGCTGTAATATAGCAAATGCCAAAATGCAATGTGCGCAGTAGAATAATATGAAAATAACCATAAAGTAGGTATTAGGAAACCAATTTTTGCGAATATTATGGAGAAAACGACCGATTGCTTTATCACGTCGCAACAACCACGTTACAACAAGCATTACCGGAGCTTCCTAGACTTTACGTTATGATTCTTGCTGTACTAACTTCGAAATTCTTTGCCCGGAAATACACCGATTTAGAGTACACTAATCGAAAAATTAAAAAAATTGCCTGGGCTAGCATTAATAAATAATTTTAATATTTGATTTACTAATTTAATCGTTTATTTCTGGAATATAAACGTTATAAAAATATAATATGAACGGACGTTAATGATAGCAGAAAAACAAAAAGTCCCTAACAAACGCCTGTTTTGAACTTTAAATGAAATATAGGACCATCTTGTCATTTAGTTGCCACTGCACAAACAACTGCAGATCTTGCTTGCTCAGTATCACATCAAGTGCTTGTTGCTTGGCATTCATTTACATATACGCATGTGCTTTCCCTATACAGGAACAAATGCACGTATAAATATACTGATGTATTATAAATGCATGGGGGATTAATATATAAGACACAGGCGTCTCATGCTTAACACGGATAATCAATACCGTGCTTTATCGAAACCATGTTATACGAGACATTTTAAGTTTTTTAAATTAAACTAAAATATGATGATTTACAACAAATGTGCACCATGTTATATTGAAACCTTATTTGTGTTGCATCGAAACGTTGCAATACGTACCGTGCTGTATCGAAACCAAATTTTAAATCGTAAGATTTTATTTTTTAGGTTTCGTTTCAAAAATACAAACAAAATAAAAATATGAAATTGAAATATTAAAAACAAAATGTGGCGATCACAAAATTAATTTTCATCCAGGTAATCTATACATATATTTTATTATTATGGTCTGTCGTGGTGTTTTTCTTCTTTTTTGTAATATGTCCATTCTTTTCCCATGTTACTGTACTGTTTACAGAATATAATTTTAAGAATTCTATTCGAAGTGAATAATGGGTTGCAATTAAATTCCCAGGTATGTTTGTGGCAGTGCTCCCCACACACACACAAAACCGTACCCTCAACGACCAAAGAGTTAATTTTTTGATTAAGCCTCTAACTGCTTTTAGATGTAATCTAGAAAGGGACTTCATGACCCTCGTCCAGTTTTTACCCATTTATTTTAAGATTTTTTGCATTGTCAACTTGCCTCTTGACACCCTTTGCTTTGATTATCGAACAAAGCTGTTTTGCCACACACTTGACACAAAGGCATATATAAAGTTAAAGCCAAAAGGTTGATCAAATAATACACTTAAACACTTCGTGAAAAAATGTTAAAATGGTCGGAGGTTCTGTAGCTTTGATTGCAGTAAACTATAAGAAAATCATTTAGAAAAATTTCTAGAAATCTTACCTCCTATAAAGTTTAGATGATCATCATTGATGGTAGATATGCCAGGATGTAATTTGATTTCTGTATTTAATGTTGTGACAAAAAGATACATTCAGCACGATTTCTTTTATATTCCGCATTACTTACATAACTAACTTACCATACAACCTTAAAGTACCTTCAGCCCGACCCAAGGAATTTGTGCTCACACAATGATAAGTGCCAACATCGGATGGTGAAAATGAGCGCACTGTTAGTAACATAACGCCACGATAACCGTCACGTTTCTCAGTAATAGCGTATTTAGGCCTAGAATTATATAATGCATTTATAGGATATTGCCTCAATATATTTGTTGTTTTCAATTTTTAATCACAAATGTAAATCTGTATGTAGTTGTAGAAAGTTACAAAATATTCATTTTCACTTTACAGCGAATTTTAACTCTAATTTAAGCTTAAAGATAATTAATTTGGATCTTGGTTGAGTTGAACTTTCAATTTATTAGGTCTGTAAAGTTTTAAAGGTCTCCGTTAATAGTAGAGAGAGAGCGGGAGATTTCGCAGTTGTAGTGTATTTTTACTATCCTTAACGGCCTGACGTCTTTTAGGACCGTAACATTTTAGTCCCACAAGCATTCACATCACTTATGTAGGACCGGGCACCTGTTGTCATACGCAAGTTTCATCGGTTTAAGTTTAATCGGTTAACGGTTCACGTAGAAGTATTTTTCAGTCTAGCAGTTACAATAATTTGTTGGTTTTAAATTTTATTTCGAGTTGGCTTCAAAGGCCACAATGCGAAGGATTTGATTAATCGCCACGCGCAATTGCTTTAACCCAAATAGATGTGAAATTACCTTATTTACTCTAATATAAGCGGTAACGTTTCTTGGTAATATTCTTTCAAACAGTACAGTGAAATTGGTACTAGGCTTATCTTCAGATCGTTAATAACTTATATTCCACGTGGTGAAGTTGTAAAAATTCTACTGTGGGTGCTTTCCTGATGGGTAAGCCTTATTGGCAGGATTCGGCTTTCTCTCATTTTGAAACCATTTGTGTTTATATTATTACATGTGAATGCCTCACGCGTTAAGAGGTTGCTATTGACCACTGAATTATCACGGGTCGAACGATTTCTTCTTTGGTGGCTGTTTGGCCATATTATTATTAATAATTTGAGCTGGTGTAAAAGCTGAGTGCAAATACAATACAGTTTGCAATCATATTGCATTTTTCAGAGTGACTTTAGGTCCATTGCTCATTGCTATCTTCGACATACGCTGTTTTGTTTGGGAGAGGCAGATAATTGTCGCCTCTAAACATTCCTTTGAGTAGCTTTGCATTATATAATTCTTAGTATTTCTTGTTAAAATAATAGCAGTGCCACTACACATTCGTCTGTTAGAGTTTTGTGCGACATATATGACGTAGTTCGTTCATTTTAAATCATTTTCCGAATGTGTAATATATCAATATTTCTAGTTTTAATAAAGTTCTTCACTTATGACAACAAATTCTTGAGGGCCTAACAATTGCATCGCTTACTGAAGCGATCTTCGACTAGAAGAGTTTGCATGCCTGCTTGTGCTTATATTTTAAATGAGTTTGCAGCAAGGACGAACTCTATTCGAATCCGATCTGTTTTACGAACACTACCACTGTAGCGCCTTGTTTTAAAAAGTTGTTATATTCAAATATAAATGCCAATCACAGGAAAACTTAATCTTTATATTATAACTTTCCACAATTCTTGGTGAAATTGATTGAAATTAGCGAATTTATTTATTTTTGGATCCCACCCCCTATGAGAGTGCTGACGAAAAAAAGACTTCGTATGGCAAAAATATTCATTTTTGGATATGGTGTGATGAAAATTGGTTCTCAAGGACAGTTTCAAACAACACTTAAATATATGAAATTTCGATTAAGTAGACGTATTTCTGAATAACATCAAGGATCGGCATGGAAATAGCACGGTTGCTTTCAAAAAGGTCTAATTTCTAAAATTTTATAGTGAAGATTTTCCGTGACAGAAACTTCATACAAAAATTAACTGGAACAAATTTGAACTACAGAATTCTACCTTTCTGACCCAATTCCATATAAACCCTTTCATGCCAAAAATATTTAATTATTAATATTTTATGCTGAAAATTAATCTACAATAGCCATGCAGGATAAAAATTAACCGTAGGCAATTCGAGTCATAAAAAATTTGAAAGCAAGCTCTTACAAGCGACAAGGTCTAATTTATAGTTGGTTACGAAGGAATATTTGACAAACAAATTAAGTTTGCTTAATTTGTATCACATCAGGTCGCTTTTTAAGCATATTCCAACACGAAGGCTTTCATGGAAAGTATCCCTTTTGGTGAAAATAATGTTTATTTTTTGGAGTATTATCAGAAAGGCGAATGAATCCCTGTGCCTGTCGAAGTTGCCCACGGTACCTAATGCTCAGCTTTGACCGCAATCTTTTGATTACTCCGGATCTATCAAATGGATTCTTCTTCACCACGGAATACCGCATCGTTTGTACGAAAAGTGAATTAAAGCAATATTTTTGTATACAAAAAAAAGTTCTTCCCTTCGTTTATGAAAAAAATATAAATTTAAAATATATGAGCCTCAAAGTACCCGGATTAGCGCAAATATTGAAATTACAAATATCCAGCCATTAAAAAACAAGGTTGGACGATATAAACAAACAATGATTTAACTCAATTTACTAAACTCTGCTTTAGATTGTTTCACATTTTTTCGTCAAGCTTTTTAAAGTTAATGCTTTTGATGTAAATCTGCTATTGGTCAATATCACATGCAGGTTTACTGTGTAAAATGTTTACAATCCAGCGATGTTGTCAAGACAATAACAACTCCTTTTTACATTGTACTTTCTTCTTATTAAGCTTGTTGTTCGTTCTACAATTAAACGAGATTTTGAGTATACCTCGTTGAGCGCCAACTCACTTCAATCATTGCGAACATTTTTGTAAGGTGTGAAACCTTGGCTGATCCAGAACTTTTCAAGAAAATTTGTTAAGATAAACAAATAAATTTATAGGACTTTCGGTACATTCCAGAGGTCGTGTTTTCTTCTTTATTTAGAAAATCCCTCTCTCTTTCATCAATGTGGTCACAATAGTGCAGCCAGGTACAGTATAACGACACACGCTCAAAACAGTGCAGAATATCGTGATTGCTTTGACAATTTACAGACTAAGAAAAACAAAAGAAAGAAACCGTCATAGCGGGCGGACGTAATATCATGACTCTTTTTATTTATTAGTTCTCGGCGTACGGAAATATTATTCAGATATTGAGTTTCGGGGTTTTATCCAATTTATTCGTTCTGTAGAAGGATATACGTTATGTTTTAGCATTGATAGTTTGTAGTTCCCTAAAGTAAGGAAGTTCTACGCATGAGGAAACCTCTAGCTTATTTATAGGCAAACCAAGAGTAGGATTGCAGTATGATCTCTGCCGCTGTGACTTAGTTAGAGATTTGGTGAGTTATCACCAAGCAGCCCACGGCAATTCTCTAGATGATGAAATAGCAGTTTCTGTCACTCAAAATTTCGCCTTGGAAAAGATTAACCTGTTGTTTGTCTTGTTTCTAATGAAAAAAATTAACGAGAAACCCTGTCTTATTTTGTAATTACTCGCTGACTGTTGAAGAACAATAAAGGAATGATCAATGTTTGTGCTGGCTTTCTATAGGTTTTTCCTAGTGCGTTGCTTTGGTGTATGTTATCAATATAATTACATACTTACCTAAGCCGGTGTGCGTGCACCTAATAACACGTATGTGAAGTAACAATGTAGATAGGAAGATAACTTATGTACATGAATATAACTAGTTTGGCATGCATCGAACGCGTATAGATAGTGTGACAGTGTGATAGCGTTCAATTTATGATAGTGCTGACGATCAACTAAATCACAGAATCGTTTATGTATAAACTGTTTGATATTTATGTGTGTACTTAAGGGATAGAATTAATAAGTGCACATTGAGAAACCGGTTTAGCATAAGAGCAAATATAATTGGGATATAGTGAGTCGCTTGAGCTTGGAACGAGATTATCAATGTAATAAAAATGCGTTTGAAAGCATTATATGAAGTGTTTAGAATATATGCGCTTACATCTTGGCTTAAGATTTTATATGGATTAGTAAACGCCGAAAAGTTTAACATATGTGTTTAAGTATTCAAGTAGTTGTAGTCACGATAATTTGGCGTACATACATAGACAACTGAGGTGTGCGACAGCTGCGAAAGCAATGATAATCCCAGTGATAGTAAGGGGGATACGTCGTGAACCAGATAGTAACGCACAAGTGGTATCCGTAAACAGAGAATAGTATTACATTTATTGTATAACTTCCGATTTCGATCTTATATACGTGTATATGTTGACTATCGAGTGACATCCATATATTTTCTCTTCATTTCGGCTAGGTGCCGTACTTGAATTTCTAGACACTGCATTTACTGCATACGGCCATTTCCTAAATGTAGTAGGCAAACAATTGCAAAGTAAAGGGAATAGCAATTAGATGAATGTGTCCATATCCAATCTCCTCATTCGCACATCCAATCTTTAAACAACACATCATCATCATACATAATTATGATAATAATGAATCGCTACAGCTTAAGTCGTTTCTTTGTGGGATTTGAAGTTGCCTTGTTCTTTTAAAAAGATTAGATAAACCTAAACACACATTTTATTATGTAAGGAATATTATATTAAACGGAAATGTTATAGAAACTTATAGAAGTTATTCTTACACGTCAACGTTCTTTTTTGAATCTATGCGCAGTTTTCATTCGCCGTTGCTTTTTTATGCAGATTTGTGTGCAGCGATATAAACAATATGGCACGATCAATTGCTTTTGCTACGTAAAATTGAAATGTTTATCTATATTTTTCACATATTGAAATTAAGTATACTTGCTTCAAGTTATATTTTATTTATTTAGCTTTACTTGATAGTTTTTAATTTTTTCAGCAATATCTTTCCAATTGTACACAAGAGTTTATAATATTACCGTTTATTTTGGGTTCACTTTAATATGCCACTTGCTTCACCTTATACTTTAGTAAAACTTAATTATCAAAATGTTTTAGTGAATTATACAAATTATTTGTTTACCTCCCTACTGTTCTGTCTATTTTTTACGTTATTTTGTTATATGAATATATATATAATTCGCTGTTTAAGCAAGGGATGAAAAAGTTAACCCATATCAAAGCAATGGAATGGCAATGAACGCAAAAAGTGATTGTATCGTGTTTGTGTTTTGTCACGTGAGCTAACTTGACAACGAATATCGTAAGCCGATCTCTTGTTGTATTTAATTTATCTAAGACAAAGTCTTTAAGAAGGGAGTTCTTTAGGATTTTTTTCTCTATCATAAAAATTAAATAAAACTGCGTATAGCACGTTATTTCCGAAGCAATATAGAATTCGTGATTACATACCCATCTAACAGCATTTCTGGGCCTGGCTGACCACCTTCTAAGTTGTTATTTGAAACACTGGCAAATCCGCTAGGCGCGCGAGCGCCCTTTAACCAATACGACACAGGGGACGGCGAAGCTTCAACATGGCATTCGAGTTGCACATCAGAACCCAACGGAGTGCCTAATAACTGACTTGGAGCTCTTACCATGGGTGCAACTAATACGTATAATTTATTTATTTTCTTAATTTGTTGTTTGATCATTCTTAAGAAAAGCATGAATTATCCACAACTTACACTGTACACTTAAAGATACCCTTTTGCTAACGGCCGGTGGGACATCGTTTGAAGCAATACATAGATAAGCGCCCATTTGGCGGCGTTCCAAGCGCATCAATTTTAACGAAGAACCCAAAAAAGATTCAACTGAAATTTTCGTCCTCACAATTAAATAAATCATTCAATAAATAAATTACGGAAAACAACCGACCTCTCATTAGCTCCCGGCTGCCTGATTTACGTAATAAGATCATTTCGCCATCTTCACGACGCCAGGTGACACGTGGCTGAGGATTACCTGTTGCCTTGCAGGTAAGCGTGGCATCTTCACCTTCTTGTACAGCCATATCAGCGGATGACTCTTCGTTAATGATATCGGGAGGAACTGCAGGATTATAATATTGAAAGAAACTTCAACTTTTCTACAATCGCTTCATACCTTGCACATCTATACAACCGATTTGTTTTTTCATGGGACTGGTATTAATTTGACACATGTAACAGCCACGATCACTTTCGCGTAGTTTACTAATTTTCAATTTCCAAGTGTGCATATCGTCATGCATGACACTAATGCGGGCATTGTGAGTAACGACACGACCCTGCAGAGCTAAAACCGTTTGGTCTGAAGCTCTTAACCAGCCAACCTGAGAAGTATCATAAAAAAAGGCGTGAAGTTATATATTATTTTTGATAAAATTTTTTGGTTCCAAACACTTATTATTTCATAAACGAAGTTCAATCTTAGAAAAAGATTTTGCGCAATCGTCAAATACCGTAAGTAAAAATTCATTCAAAAAAAATGTCTCTTTTTACCTTATTTTTTCCCAAATTTCTAACTGAACAAGTTAATATTGCTTCTCTACCGGCTGGAAAGGTAACATTACTAATAGTTCCTAGAAATTCCGGATCGGGATCCAATTGTGAACTTTGTTCTAAGTAAATAAAAAGAAATTTGAAACTAAAAATATGTATGCACATAAAAGCGTCTTATTACCATTTAAGTTTTGTGTTCTCGCCTGTAGGTATTTCGTAACTATAAACAATGTTACTATAAACCAGGTTTGCAATTTGTCCATGATATTACTGTACTCAAATTTATAGAAGGTAGGGCGCTGTAGTCTTATTGAATCCTTTTTCTTAACCAAAGTGAAACGTGCTTTAGCTACATACAGGTATCTTCTAAATTTGTAAATAACGGATTACGGTGTCATTAAGTTTTTCATATGCTGCCATTTCTTATAAGTCTTTATATATGTGTGATTTGGACCTGAAATAAAAGAACATATATTAAAATTGTTATTTAGAGGCAGACTGCCGAGTTTTTAAAAACACATTCAACTGAAGATAAAGCAGTGAGTACATCAACATCATGTAGCGCACACCAACGGCACCAAAATTACATTTTTCCATTTACCTGATGAGTTGTATATATTGTTGTACGCGTAAAGAGAGTAACTAGTTTACAGCTGGCATATATTAATATATTTTCTTGACATTTTCTCCAGTGTAAAAAGCATTAGCTTAAACGTTTTTTTTATTACTTCTTTAATAATAATGACATTTTGCAGTTTGTAAACTAATTTTCACTCAACAGTTTTGCATAAATGCCGAATCTTATTTCAAATAAAGGCAGAGAAATTCTCGCACTAAAGGCATTAACTTTCTCATTCCCTTCAAATTTTTCTAAGGGTGATTAGCAACATACCTTATCGATCTCAACACAATAGGCCCTGACGTGCAGGTATTTTCAGCAGATTTATATGGTGGCCTTGCCAAAAATTATTTCTAAATAAGAATATTAATATGGTCTTTCATGTATTTTGATCGGGGACATCTATTAGTGAAAATGAAAAAGTATGGGAAGTGTCAATACATGCAACGGTTAAATTTGATGACGATGATAAGGAAGATAAATCCTCTACATAAAATAACAGTTTTCCATTTAATACTATTGAATTCCTCAGACTATACAGACGCTAGTCATAGATCGCTCAAAGATGCATTTTCAATGTTCATTACTCGCGTTGTTTGGTTTAAAGAAATCTGCTGCCGAAGCCCATCAAACTCTTTTAGAAGCTGATGGTGATGCTACTCCATCATATCTCACTCGTTAGGTTTGGTTTCAGAGTGGTGATTTTGATGTCAATGACCAAAAAAATTCGATGACAGTGAATTGTAAGAATTATTGGACGAACACCCGGCTCAAACTCTCGAAGAACTCTCAAATAACTTAGCAATTGATGAAACAACCTTTCCCAGACATTTACACGGGCTCCGAAATGTCCATAACAGGGCTATCATAACAATTGACTGAAAATGCCATATCGTATCCTTTCAACACCGCGGTTTCATTGCTTCCCAGGCAAAAAGCAGAGTTTTTCATGATGCATTGTAACGGGCGATGAAAATTGGATATACTATGACGATCCCAAACGGAAAAAACCATGGGTTAGTCCGAGAGCGAGACCCACATCGACACCGAAATGGAATATTCATTCCAATAAAGTTTTGTCGATCTGCTAAAATCGAAGGGTTACCGCAAACATCTACTAACGTCAATTGCATAAATTGAACTATGTTACAAAAACGTAATACGTAAAGTCATCTTCTTGCGTGACAAGATTCGGTTACACGTTGCAGAAGTTGTCAAGAATATTCTGTTGCAGCACGAATGGGAAGTTCTGCGACTTCTAATTACTACTTATTCGGATTAATGCAGCTTAGCTTGGTTGGCACGCAATTTCAAAATGCTGAAGAAGTGCTGAATGGGTCGATGATTGGGTCGCTGCTAAACCAACAACGTTGTCTCGGTACGGTTTGACCTGGTTGCCAGGAAGATGGGAAAAAATTGTAGAAAATGATGGAAGACATTCAGATATTAATATATATGATACCAATTTTTCTCAATAAGTGCCTTTTGTTAAATGAAAAATGATCAAAGTACATGCAAGCACCTAACATAATGGAGTGGAATGGAATTCTCAATTCATCACAGCGTCAATATTGATTAGGGATTTTATATTACTTATAAAACTCTTTTTATTTCCTTTTTATAATACATTGAAAGCACATTTTCCAAAGTATTATAGAAATTCTCATTCTCTTTCACTTCGCAAAAGAGACTCACATATCATTGTTTATTTTTAAGCAAAAATCATTATGTACTATTAATATTGACTTTATTTTGGCACTTCATAACAGAAATTTTATTTTATTTCATTGAAAATTTAAAAAAATTGTTTTTAAAATTAAAATTAAACGTTATTTTACAATAACAACAAATAGTATAATTATGGGGGACACAATGTGTTTGTGCTCCTATTGTGTACATTTTATCTGCATAACCTTTTTATGCTCCAAAAAAATAATGTAAACATAAAATAGGAAGATAGAGAGCGAAAAACCGGAAATTGTAATAAATAGGTTTATTAATGAAAATGAATGGTTTTAGATCGTAGCAGAGGTAAACTGCTTCGTTCCACTCTCATAAAATATTTTATTTATTATACCCCACACCACTTGCGGTACAGGATATATAAAGTTAGTGCGGTCGTATGTGAGACACAGAAGGGCTTAAGATGGACGCACCTTTTATTATGCCGATAGATGCCTGTCTGTCCGTCTGTTGTCTGTCCATATAATATTGTGTTCAAGCTACAGATCGCATTTTCGAGATATTTCGATATAATTTGGTACAGTGACGTGTTTTGACCGGGACGAACTCTATTGAAAATGGTTCGGATGGGCCCACGTTTTCGACCACGCCCCACATAAGGCGCTATTCGGAAAAGTCGCTATAGGGGAAAAAATTGCAAATTCCAAAATTTCTAGACGAAAGCGGCTAAGTAATTATATTTCGGCATTCTAAGTTTGTATGAAAGCTTTGGATCGGCTGCGGAAATTTTTAACTCCCTCTCTTATAGCGAAAACTGAAGTTCATATGCCAAAAAGACCCAGCTGGTCCAAATATGACATTTTTTTATATTAAATTACTATAATTTTCATCTGTGTAAATTACCATTGTGATATGATTTCCAATATTTCAAGAGTTCATTAAATTTTAATCTGTAGTGTTCGAATTTGACTTATATTGTTATAGTAATTTCCTACAAAAGCCCTGCAAAAGTTAGACCATGTACACCTTTTTTTGTATCGTGCCCTATGTAAGGATTAAATTTGTATTACATTAGGTTGCGCTTCCACATAAACATGCATATGAAAAATATGCCTTTATATAGACAAAAATTTTCGTGTTTTATATTAAAAATAAGAATTGTGTTAGACAATGTTGTGTACGGTATTTATAGGTCGGCCGTTCCCGATTATAATGTTCTCACTTGTTTTATTTAAAAACGTTCGATAAGAGAAAATGACAAATGTATAGGCAGAACTATGTGTGAAACTTAGGTTTATATATATATACGTATGCACATGAGTATAGTTTTCTAAACATTAAGTTTAATAACATATTTTGATAAATTGAGATGTATTTTTGCTAATTTTTGGTTTATGCAAATAATGCATAAATTCGAAAAAGAATTTCACAGACCATATTTGCATAAAAATTTATCGATGAATAATAACAGTGTCAAAATGTCATACAAATTTATCTGCAGAAATGTGAAGGTATGTATGCTGATGTCAAAGGCATATGTGTAAGATGTTAAAGGAGGGGAAAGTCAAGTTTAGATGTAAGGATATGCATACGAACGTAACGGCTGAGATTTTCGGACTGCAAACAAAAAAGTGTATTTATTTATTTCAGTGTAAGCGCATGTGAACAATATACACTTTTTTTACTTAAGAATAAAGAATTGGAGAGCACTGCTAACAAACCACTTAAAGCCAGGGTTACCGCGGAGACGAGTCAAAGTTTCGGTAAGGTAATTTTCAAAAGCACTCTCTTCAAATATTTGTCTTCAGTTTTTCAAATTTCTTGTAGCTATTCAAACTGGAGCTATGGGATACATATAAATTGGCGGTGTTGCGAAGAGTCTTCACTGGTCTTTGAACTCTCCCCGTCAAAATTAGAATAGACAAATAACCTTTGGAAAGTTTGTCGATAACTGCCATAATTTAGATTAAGAGCGACCTTTATGGAGCTTCTATAATTTAATTGCTTGAACGACCGAGTGGAATGCAAACCGGTAAACCACTAATGCAGCCCGAACTGGAGAGCAGAGCCTAATGATTCCATATACGTTAATACACTTGAGATTGCCTACTATTTTAATTTTATTTATTTATTTATAAATTAAATAGGTTAGAAGACCGCCTAAAAGTGTATATACAGAGTACTGAATTTAAGTATACTAAAGAGCAATTATATATTCAATAATTTTACAAGTAAAATTCGATTACAATAACATAATAGCTAAGTCAAATAAAACTCTTATGAAAAAAAATTAAAACAACAATCTTATATTGAACCTTAGGGCTGAGTTTTTAAGTATAAAGATGAAGACAAAATAAATTTTTATTTACTTATTTTATCAACTGCAACTTAAGTTAGTAGCTATAGTAAGCAACTAAGTATTAGTTAGCAAGAGAAGGAAGGAAACAAATTTTGCATATTTTTGCGTCACCCAGAAATGCACGTTGACAACAAGTATGGAGGTATAAGTCGAGTGGACTCAAACTAACCTTTGCCTGGACGATTTATTGTCTAATGTTCCTTGTTTTGTTCACTTTAAACCCGAATATTAATTTAGTCTCTTACTTAAGTATATACAGAGCCTGCCGAGAAAATAAAGTGATAAACGTTGTTCAAGCATTTAAATAAAACCAAGAGTGGGTTAAATAATTCATAATTAGATGTACATTGATGTAAGTACTGATAGCTCCTCCATGGACGGGTAGTGCAGTTTATAAACTTTTCTAAGAAACTGATTCCCCAAATGGATCTCCGTCTCTCAAGCGATGATAATGCTATTAGGAATCTATTCTCGTATTTCAGTAACGTTACGCAGATTTCTTAACGCACAGACTAATAATTGTTTTTGGACCATTTCAATAGATTCGATAGGACGGCGACTATAGTACGGAAGGGTATTCCAGTACAGGTCACGCCACCATTATGTGCCTTCTTATAGTAAGGTATGGATCATCAAATTCAACACAACAGCGTTTAATAAGGAGCAACACAAATTTAGCTTCAAAGTTCAATAAGTAATGTAAAATGAAGTTTATTATCGGACGACTTCCCTAGGTCAAGAAACTTATCTACGTTCTTCAGTTTGTGCGACTCAATGACATATTTCGTTGA